GGTATTCCCTAGTGTGGATGCTCATTGAATTGCTTGTGATTATCCCTATTTTAGACTACATCTTGTTGGGCTTAATTAATTCCTCACTGCTGTCTGTGATCTGCCTCAATATTTGCATAAGTACATGTACATGTAGATGGTTGGTCAAAGAGCCAAGGTTGATATGAATATTTGTTGTAACAATGATGTATACATGTACGTGGGTCACTCAAAAGAATGTGTCTGCATCTGTAAGTCATATACGTGTATAACCAAGCATTGCAGTTTAATGTATTTATGAAGATTTTAATCATATTGTGAAACTTACCTTGGAATGTCAATACATGTATACATGTATGTGCTACAGATCTCCTGAGTGGCCGGTTTTTAAAACAAATCTACATTTGGTTATACATCTACATGTAGATTGGAAATGTGACCATTTGGGACTTGAAGCTGTTGTGAAAAAGGAACTGCCAGTATATTTCTGAAAATTGCTGTGCAGTATAAGAGTGTGGTTTGATCAATGGGCCCTGATACACTGAAGTGTACGTTTAATCTCTTTCCTTACATCTTTCCTGCAGATTCAGACAGCTGACTGCAGATCATCAAACCCTGGAAAATCCATTGGACATTGCGGTACCAATTCCATTATGTGATCAGTAATCATGGATCAGACACCATGAGAGACGATGTACATGTACATGTCATTTGGTGGACATGGACTGCATCCAGGTTCCCCAATTCACTCAGTCAGTGGAACATATCCTCCAAAGGAAGACAGCCCCGGTGAAATGACTCCTCGAATGGAACTCACAGGAGACAGTCTAATGGAACTCATAGGAGACAGCCAGTCACACAGCATGGAACTCATTACTCTAGAAGGACAGATGAACCCCTCTACATGTATTAAGTTTGCTGTTAATTTCCTGCTGTTGGACTGGTCAGCCACTTTTAAAGCCCTTTGCTCTGTCCAAGACACAAGTTTTCATTTCAATATTGGATTCTGTTAAAGATGCACATTCGCTACATGTACATGTACAGTACATGTTCATCAGCCAATTTGCGTTTACATTGTAACTTTCATCACTGCATGACTGCTGGTACAAGACTGTATGAAGAAAGCCTGTGACTTGGGATAATTGGAAATGGCATTTGACATCGAGCAGTGTACATGTACAGTATGTACACCGCTTTCCTTTCACGAAGGATCAGTACGTCACTGCGGACTGCTGTAATAAGATGCCAGGAACCAATTGCATCAGACATCTAGAATTCTACATGGATTGCAATCTCAGAGCAGGTCACTGGAACTGAGTTTCAGAAAGTGACTTTTCTGGATCCAGTTGACTTCCAACCCTGTCCCCTCAGTGCCACATCTTTGGATCTAAACTTGAAGTTACTTGAGGACTTGTGGACAACCTCAGCACATGAACAATGCTGGACACTTCTACTTGTAAAATGAAGGACTCTGGATATGTTTTAATTATCCAAGGCACAGAATGTGTCATGACATTGACAGTGTGCAATTGGAAAGCATTTAACCAGCCCCCCTGCAGAATATCTGATCTCAAAAAAATTGAAATTTGTTGAAATTTGATATTTACTTGTCGGTAAAAGTGAAGATGTTTTTAATAAGTTTAATTTTCAGTTGCTAGAGAGAACATTTGGTAATGTATAGAATAACTGAAATGCACATAAAAGTATTCAGAAAATACCCAAAACTCTTCTGAAAATTTAAACAATTTTAATCTAAAAAGTCTGACTACTAACACATACTGCTGCAAGGAAATACATGTAAGCTGAAAAAACTCCAAATTATTATTTTGACACTAATCTTTAAAACCCTGCAGCATTCTTATGGGGGCTGGTTACCTGAATGGTATTCATTACTCTCAATGAGTACATTTGGCTGGTAGTATGCCTGTTGGGGGACTGGGTACTAGATTGGTAAACAACACTTTGTTATCAATGGTCAACAGTCACCACAGTGTACAAACTGTCTCTGGAGAAAAAACGCTTTTCATTCTTGGTGTCAGACTGTGGAGTTGCACATTGCTTCTTCATGGGCATTCTCTTCAAGTATAACAACCTGATATTTCTATATTACTGTATTGTTGATTTTGCAATGTTTCTCTGGTTTATAGTTGAAAGTATTTGATGCACATGAGGTGTTTCTGAGTTTCCTCAAAAATATACCCAAACCACATCATTTGAAAATTGACAAATTCCTCAAACATTCAATGTTTACCAATCTCGTGCCCAGCATCTTGAGTATAATCAGCACTGGCACACATCCAAATCATGTCGTGTAATAGTTTTATTCTGATTACGAATGCTTAGTATTCATTTACATGTACAGTGCGAGCAACATCAGACCATGAGAAGATAGTTTACTCCTTCGAACCATGCATGAACCACTGAAGTGCTAGTAAATTTAGCTTAAAGAAACTTAAACTTATTGCTCTTACGTGTACCGGTAGGTTTTTTTCAGAGCTGCATGCACATTTTTTTTCTTGTTAGCCAATACGGGCAATTCACAATGCAGAGCACCAACACGAATTTGCCATGGAGAGGCCTTTCATCGCAGTGCATTGTGGGAAAACATTGACACAGGCCTATCCACTTATTACTGTGCTGCGGGCGTGAAATTTGATTTCTTCTGAAAGTTTGTCTTGTTTGAAAAGGTTTATTCAGTGCGAGTAACACTTATCAAAAGGGGCATTTTCGTGATTAAAAAAATGCTCAGTACATTCCAACGTACACCTTATCGCTATAGACCGCCATATTTGTGTCAATCGAAAAGTTGAAAAATGGCCTTCCGTTGGCAAACTTTTGGTGGTGCACTGCACTGTGAATCGCCCGTATTGAAAGTGCTGTGTCCACAAACTTCAGTGAATTTCTACTCTCCAACAGTCACAATCTCCACTCACATCTAACTCAGTCAAATTTAGGTGTGTGGTAAAGACAAGTCCTCTTCAGTTGAATGCTCCATTAACAAGAAGATTATTGCGTGTCACTTGATCAGGTTTTTATGTCTTTCAAAATCTACCAATAATATTCAAAGCATACATGTTCATTAACGGTGTATAACTGACTTTTTA